AAGATTGAGTTCAGGAAAATTTGTCTTTTGTACCCTCCAACAGTCAACTAGCGAATATCCTCATCAAGGGCCTTCCTCGACCTTTGTTCGATGACTTCAAATCCAAGTTGAACATGATTGACATCTATGTTTTAACTTGAGGGATTAGATTTTTAACATCAATTAAATCTCTAGCTATTTTTATTTATTTTTTCTTGCATTTTTAATTTATTCTGTTTGACTCATTTCCTATTTATTTTTTTCAGTTTTATTTCTTTCTTTTGTTGTGTCTATTGTAATTGAGTTTAAATACTCCTTCTTCTATCAATAAGATTAAGATTGTGTTACTTTATTCCAAATCTAAACAATATATAGATGGATAGATATAATACAACGTCATGTTTATTGTTTGCCAATTTTTCCTTTATTTGATTTAATCGATCGCAAGGTTATGCTCTTAGTAAATTTGATGCTCCAAATGCATCTTTGCAGTCCGTTTTTTTAAATGTGGTGAACATTTTCATTATATGTGATCTGTCCTGGATATGTCTTGTACATTTTTGTATTAGTCGTACCCTATTTTCATCTCATTTGATCGGGTTTGGTTTCAAAATGGCATAGAATTCAACAATTTTGCAAAATTTTTCTACTCGCATGTTTGTTAGCTTTATTGCAATCATGTGAATGTTCAAACTTTCATATGATAGAAAAATAATATATTTATAAGAGGAAAATGATGCGATCTAACATCAAAATAACACATTTTTCCACAACAATTAGGGCAAACATAAATTCTTTTCTTTAATAATCCAAACAACTCAACAATAATACAAAATATAAATACCTACAATTCGAGAAGTGGTCGATCTCTCCCCATTCATATAATTCGAGAGGTAGGAGATCTCTCCCAAACTTTAGACCCAAGACTTACAACTCAATCTCATGCATAAAGCTAATCCTAAACATAACAATCATACTTATATCCAACAATATTAATAATAAACGACTAAAGTCCCATTCGGTATACAAAAGATAAATTTTCCCTTAGGCTACGATACAATCTCATACGGAATTGGTTTGGATTAGAGCTCATTAACATTATATGTGAAGTTCAGTAGATTGGAAGGATTCCTATTGACCAATTTTTCCGCCTATTCTGGGAGGACAATAACTACTCTTTTATATAGTAAAATTTTTTAGGAGATACCTAATTGCAACAGTTGGGTTGGCAAACTGAAGGGAAACTATGTTTTGGTCGTTTTTTATTAATGAGGCAATCCCAACTAATAGTTGGCTGCATCGCAGGCATATTGCACTTATTGCCCTTGGGGCTGCGTAAAGCTTGAGGATTACACACATATAACTTCAACAATATTGCAAGATATTGTACACTGTTAGACTCGGTGGGTGCCTTGAGGATGTCATATTCTGTCTACAAGGAATGTCACAATCATCTATGCCTGTCGGTTGCATTTTCTTTTATGTTGTTTATCAAACTTGGCGAGCGTGTAACGTAATAAGCAGGGTTGCCCGCATGGTGCCCCTACTATGCCCTCCACTCTAATGGTCGAACGAGTATTGGCTTGGTGATCCGAGATGAAAACAACAATATTATTCTCGTGGCAAGGAAGACATTATTGCATTTGGACAACTTTTAAGTCAAAGCTCAAGTAGTCCTCTTTCTCGTTCAACCATGGATGTTTGAAAACACAAGTATCATCATTGAGGGAGACAACAAAAATGTTGCGGACCTCTTTTAGAAACAATTGGCAGATTTTGGAGGGCGATGGCTTTGATCTTACTTTTCCTTTTTTTCTGTGAAGTTCTTCTCATTTCTGTGCACAGGAAACGTATTCCATTTTTGTGCTTGGCTTGCTTTGGATTGGTCATTTTTTGGGATTCTCATACTTGTGATCCTGATTTTTTGAGTGTGGTTGAGAAAGATGCCAACCACACTTTTTTTGTGTAGCTTTCATTGCTCTCTTTTGTATATTTTTATTTTGTTTTAATACAAAATGCACACCTTTCACGAAAACATAACCCTTTGTAGTTTTAGGCTTGCTTCTCTCGAATCTCTGTCTCTGTAAGGCGCTTGAGTGTTGCTCCTGGTTGTGGTTCATTATTCGTATCCGATGTAGTCTTTATTTGGACTTCCATTGTTTGAGCTTTTGGTATCATCATGGTTGTAGCAGTTTAGTACGACGTTTCATTTGTGTTGCTCCTACTGGCCTTCTTTATCTGATTCTTGTCCTCTACCTTCTGAGCTAGCTTCATCATCTCCCTCAGTCCCTGTGATCTCAATAGTTAGAGTGGGCCCGTATGTTGGGCTTTAGACTCTTCATGAAATTTTACTCTAATCCTGCTTTAGAAATCTCCTCAGCCTTCCCGATAATAGCTCAAATCTCTTCTTGTATTCCGTGTCAGTCTCCTCCTGAGTCAAGACATAGAATTTCTCGTGTAGATTTCCTTCCTGAATTGCTCAGAAACATTACAATAACAATCATTGAATTCCTCCCACGAATGGATTAGGTATCTAGCCTCCCTTCATTGAAACCAGTCTAGAGCTTTCCCTCCCAAACCTAACTTTGTCGCCGTAAGTTCCTCTTCCCCATCTAGTCCATTTATCGTGAAGTATAGCTCCACTCGATACACCCACCCATGTATTTCTTTCTCTTCGAAAATTGACACTTTCGAAGATTGGCATCTTCAACTTAAATCTAACATCTCCACCCCAATTTCCTCTTCCTTTGTTATTTCCCCTCATGTAGCGAGAGTCAAACGCCCACCTTCGATCGTAGTCATATCCCCTCCATGCTTCTCTCCTTTCTTCTTCGAGCTCCTCCATACTTGTTGCATATTTTCTTTTCCATATTTTTGCCCAACCACTTCCTTTAGAAATCTCTAATACACCTTTAATCGGAGCCTTGAGAGGATGTTCTTAAAGGTGGATGCTTTTCTCATTTTCCTCTCATCCGATCTTTTTCCCTTTGATTTAACCAATGACTCTTTGATCAACCCTTGGGTAAGGTTTGCAAACTGAACTGCTAGCAAGTTTTGGATTGCATCTCCATAAGATTCCTTAGCTCTTCTATGCTCTCGAGTCTGCCCTCAAATCAGTTTTCCATGGATAAGAACTTCTCTTTTATAGCGGAGAACCTTTCCTCTGTCTAGAATTTAGGTTTGACCCACTTCTTCCTCCAATTTTTTCTCTAAATCATCTATTTTCTTATCTGTCATTACTCTCATGAATATTTTTAATCACAAATGCAAAATTCTTGTACCCTGAAATCTTGTTGTTGGCTCGGTTTGGTCGGAAAGAAGCGCTGCACAATTAGATCACGCCTCGTACGCCACTATCTCGTTTGCTTCCTTAAATCAAATCAAACGACAGATGACGAACTACTCGAAGAGATTCAGTCGGCTTGTAGCAAGCTGAAGTGAAGGCGATATCGCGCGAATGTAAGACGCCATCCTTCGCATCAAGGCCTTCCCTGTACGCTACGAGCTATGATTCGTGTGGTTCTTCACTTTCCTTCATGTCGAAGCCTTTCCTATTTGCTGCGATCATTTGCGGTTCATCTTTGCTTTCCCAACAAGATCTGATTTGTGGGGTTCATTGCTTTCCTTTACGTGGAATCCTTCATCGTGCTCTGCGGAAGCGAAAGATGGAGTTTCGGGTCTCAGTATGCCGCGATCTTTCTGCACTGTCTGATATTGTAGGGTTCGGTAACTAGGCTTGGAGGGGAAAGATAGGCTTTTTGGGTCTGTGTATGTCGTGATCTGATTGGTTGTCCTCGTGTGTACCCGTAGATCCTATCATCGCAGGCTAGGTTATGTCAAATGATACAATATGTACGATTTTAGATTCTTTTGGTAAGTCCACAAAAATCGATCATCCTCTTTTCTCTTTTCTGGATCCGCTTCTCAGGATTTTGAGCTCTAACACTAATTTGATACGATCCATTGTCAACATCGACACGTTTTTCCATATAATTAAGGCAAACATAAATATTTTCTTCAATAATTCAAAGATTTCCAAAAGAATAAAAAAGATAAGTACCTACAATTCGAGAGGTTGGAAATCTTTCCCAATTCCTATATTTTGAGAGGTAGGAAATCTCTCCCAAATCCTACGACTTAAGACTAACAACTCAATCTCATGCATAAACTTAACCCTTGACATAACTTGCCTACTTATGCCTAACAACAATAAAATTAAAACACTAAATTGCCCTTAGGCATACAAAAGATAAATTTGCCTTTAGACTAGGCGCCAATGTAACAAAAAAGCCTAAAATAGTCCTCTAACTATTTGATTCTAGCCACCATAGTCTTTATATCACATTACTTCAATTTAATCCGCAAATAAACAAAATTGATTCAAAATTCTTATTGAGATAAAAATTCATTAAAATTGGGATAAAAATACGATTTCAATTTTATCCCTTAACCATACAAAATTGATCCTAGTTTAGTCCATGAAGCATCAATTGACATCAATTTTATAAAGATAAGGGATCAAATTTGAGAAATGTGATACTCCTGAAACTAAGTTGCCCTAAACGTATGATCGGTGAACCATTTTTTTGTTTTTTTTTCATTTTTTATATGTTAAAGCTTGATTCCTTGATCATAAATTGGCTTTTCCAGATTATTCTGACTTACATGTAAGATCAAAGCAGCATAACCAATGAACAAGTTTTTGGACATCTAAGCATGCTTCTCCAAATCAGTATGAATGTGCACACACATGCTTATGTGTCTTAACCATTTGCTACGACAATACGCTTGTTATTTAGCCAACTGACTGCCATCATATAATCTATCGCTGTCTTCCCTTGTATTATTAAATATAGGACAATCTTTTATTTCCAATATCATATATTTTTCTGGAGATGATTCTGACTAGTAAAAGCGTCTGTTGCCTACTTGCTCTATTCTTCATTTTTTGCTACCAATTTTTAGTCTTTTCTTCATTTCTTATATCATTACCCACTTTTGGTTTATTTTTCTTTATTCAGGGTATTTTTATGATGATGATGTGGGCATGGATGAGGGAACCAACAATTTTTTGGATACAAATCTAGAAAGCCAGATAACAAATGCAATTGATTCACGTCTTTTTCAACTTTTAGTATGCTACTCGTAACTGCTTAAATACAGCCATTGTTTGTGCTGCATCTTTCTGTGAGGTTGCATACCACCCAATTCTTATGTATTTACATATCTAACAGCCAAAATTTATTTTTTACATTTATATCACCCAAATTTTTTATATCACATCTAAAATACCATCTTTTTAACTTTTTCGAAGTGAAATACACCTTTTTATGCATAGTTAAGGTGACATATATATGTAAAAATTGAAGTTTAGGTGTTAGATACGTAATACATAAGAATTGGTTGGAATGTATGTAAATCTTAAATATTTAGCACTTGATATTTGAACAATGGACAGGTAAATGCATTGTTTATGGATGCATCACTTGGTCGTCATGGATATGAAACTGCTCAATCTGAAGTAGTTGAAGCTATTGGTTCTATTTGTGCTTTCTTGCATGTCACATTCAGTGCATTGCCTTCTGAACGTATCATGACTGGGCTTGCTTATGGAACTGATCTCGTTCACATACTCTGGAGTTTTATAAAATGTTGCCATGAAAGTCAAACGTGGCCGCATTTTCCTCAACTCTCAGGATATATTCCTGATGATGCTCCACGCTGGCTATTATGTTTGGCTGTTTTCTGTCCTGTGTATAAGTAAGTATTCTCGTGACTCAATGTTGGTGCCTTGACGAGTAGTAGTGGAGCCAAGGACTTTATCTAGGGGGGGCACGGATTGACTATTTTGAGAAAATATACTTAATTTTTTATTATTGTTAGAAGGAAGAACAAAATTATAAATATAAATAATAAATAACACACACACTATATATATATATTTGCATTTTTATCTCCAAATCAGATTTTCACTTTTTCATATTATTTTAAGAGAATCTATCAAAATTATGCACGTTTCAATAATTTAATCAGTTTAATAATTAAGTTATCATTTCATTTTTATTTTGGATATAATTTTATTAAAAATTTTTAAATATGAAATTTATTATATTATTGGATATAAAATTTAAATATATAAAAAAAAATTTAATGGGACATCCATGATTGAATTAACATAGAAGTTTGATGATTGATCAAATATTTTATTTAAAATATTTAAATATAAAATAATATTCAAATTTAACTGAATCATTATCTAAAATTTTATGTCAAAATATTTATATATTAATTTTTTGGATATATAAAAGTTTTTGTGGGCCTGTGCCCCCTAGAGCCTCCAGAAGAATGTCATTTTAGAATTATTACTTTTGGTTTTGTTTGTGCTCTCACAACCATCCCTTTTTTTTCGCTTATTGGAGGGTTTCGATTTCTATCTTGACTCTAGGTTTTTTATTGCTTGATCAGGTATATGCTGACAATCATGGACAATGAGGAATTCTATGAGCAGGAAAGACCACTATCCTTGATGGATATCCGGCTCTTAGTTATAATATTAAAACAGGTATTGATTTACTCTTTTGTACACATTGCATCATTATACTAAATCCCAAAATATTCCCCCGACAAGTTTTGTTTGGCCAATTTATGTTCAATTGCACAAGAATGATACAAAATAGTCTTTTATGCAGAAAATGTGTTGTAAATTTGACCTCAGTTTAGTCCGTTACTGTACAAATTTGATCTCAATTTAGTTCTTGAGTGATATTTTTGTAGTAATTTTGGATTATGGAGGGTTTAAATGAGAAAAATATGATGCTCTGGGACTACATTGATCACATACAAACTGCGTGGGACTATTTTTGAGTTTAATTAAATCAGTGAAATGTCATATTCTTGACTAAATTTGCCATATAAAAATCATTGGGAGACTATTTTGAAGTTTAACTTTTGCAACATTAGTAGATCACTTATATTGTGTGCGGTCCATATTTTTCCTTTTTTTTAAGTGATTTATTTTCAATAGCTTGGTTTCTTGCATTACATTTGAAGACATATCACAACGTTGTCATATCTTATGCTTTTTTCTTTAATTACCCTATACAATCTCCTTTTGCAGGATTTATGGCAACTCCTTTGGGTACTACCGGCTGTCGTGTCTCCTCAGAAACATGGAACTGATATTTTTTTCAATAAAAGGCTCTCAGTTGAAACTATAAGAACTGGAGCTCGTGCAATGATGTGTGAACTCTTGAACCAGGTATCTATGAATGCTCAACTGTTTTGTCTTGTTAATTGGGAAATAGATTATTGAGATGTAGTTTTTTTTTTTCTTTTATTGTGCAAATCTTTTTTGTGAATCATAACTATTTCAGTTTCTTACTTATCTTGAATTACTGAATCCTTTTTAGGTTTTTCATATTTTTAATTAGTACTCATTATGTCAAATGAATCAGATTTATTTATTACTGCAGCGACTGCTTTGAGTGAAAATGTGCTTTTATTTTTGGTAGCTTAGATGTTGTGGCTTTGTGAAAGCCTTTTAGTCTACTACTGATGCATGCGCAATTCTCAATGCTACAAAAATGTTTATTTACTTTTTTGTTCTCTATGTGATGCTTTTCTGCAGTTACAGGATTGGAATAACAGAAAGTTGTTCACCGCACCTAGTGATTTTCACGCACTTGAAGCTAGCAGCGAAGCATTTATAGCTCAGGTAAAATTGATTACTGAGAGCAACTTCTATTTGTCTTAAATATTTGTTCCTCACAGTGGTGGATTTTTGTGCAGGCCCTAACTGAAAATAGCAGAGCATTTGAGTTGCTGAAACAGGCTCCATTTCTGGTTCCATTTACAAGCAGGGTTAAAATATTCAATGTGAGGACCACCACCCCACGCCCTCACCCTCTTAAACATGCTCATACACATGTGATGTAACCTCTTAGAACCACATGAAATAATAATCTTATTACTAATATTTCTATAAAAAATTTAATTCGTAAGATGCACTTCTATATACTGTTGCTTTTGTATTTTTCTGACTATGTTAATTTTGTTTTGCAGGCAAAACTAGCAGCTTCGAAGCAACAAACTGGTGCTTTCCCTCTATCTAGAAATCGGTTTCGGATAAGAAGAAAAAGAATTTTTGAAGATGCATTCAATCAGCTGAGTGCACTCTCAACGGATGAACTCAGAGGCTCGGTATTTGTTTGTCTATGTTCTGCCCTATATCTCTCATTACAAAGCAAATATCAACATGGGCACGTTCCTCCCTACTCCCAGACATTTCTTTTCTTCGGCACACTAATCCCATAAACGTTCACTTATAACCAAAAAACTTTGCTGAAATGCATAAAGACCTATAGAAAAATCTCTTGATAGAAGGCTTTAAGCTTATATACTGCAGTGTTTTTTTTTTTGTTTTCTTACTGCAGTTTGTAATGGATATTCTTTACATTTTGCCTTAATGCTTTCAGATTCGTGTTTCCTTTTTTAATGACTTTGGAGTAGAGGAAGCTGGAATTGATGGTGGTGGTATTTTTAAGGACTTCATGGAAAACATTACTCAAGCAGCTTTCAATGTGCAATATGGACTATTTAAGGTTTGTTCATCCATTAATGGTTTTAAAATCTCTGATATTAATCCCATGTTTTTGGTGTTGATTAATTGGTCGTCATTTATTTATTTATTTTTTCTTTTTTGGTTGTATGGTTTGAATGCCGATCTCTATAGCTTGATGTATATTGTTCCATGGAACCAACCAAGGTTTTAGAGGTGAATCAGGAATCGAGCCATTTTTTTCTTTGCGAGGAGCGGCATAAGCCTCAAGGCAGATCAAGGCGTAAGGCTCAAAATAAATAAATAAAAAATCATAAAATTAAGCATAATTCATAAATATGACATTCAACAAACCACGAATCTTGATCATTAAATTTAGAATTTAAATATAGTAATAGACTCCACTAGTTCACTTAATAACACAATATATAGTATTCCCAAATCCAAATATAAAGCAAAATCGCAAAATTTTGAAATAAGGTTTGAATAGTAAACTTAAAAATTAAATATGCCACAAGAATCAAGATACATAGCGGTATCATCATCATTTTCATCATCTTCTAAAGAATCATCATATGTAATAACTCTATCATCCTCGAATTATATGTTATCATTATCTTCAAATTCTTCTTCAATTATCACATCTTTCATTTTACTCCTATATGAATTAGCATTGAATTTAATATAGTTTTAAATAAAATAATAAATCAGTAACACTACTAAGCAATTAATTATACTTTAAATAAATTATCTTTAGAATTTTTTTGAAGCTCCAACTCCCAAATTTGATCTCTTTACCCTATTCAATTTAAACATTAATATCTTCTTTAGCATCATCATTAAAAGTCAGTTCTTCATCTACAACCATAAATTATTCAACATTCTTAGGTATTATTCATTGATCATCAGAGATAATATTATCAGCAGCATAGGTTCTATTCCATCACCACTATTTCCTTGTTGGTGTAGCTTCAATTGTTTATTTTTCAATTTTTTTCTTGAACATAATATAAATTAATTTGTTAATTCTACTTGTAGCCAATCAATTTCTTCTCTTTTTATGCAGTTGGTTGAATATGTTCTAATCATGCTCACATGTAGAAGCTGACAAAGTAAAACTAAGAACTTTCACAACCAATGCTTTGAGTTCATGCACATCATCTATTAATGGTTCCCAACAATGTTCTAGCATAACATTAAACAAAAGTATCAATGTATAAATGATAAACTCATAGAATTAAAATTATAGATAAATGAAATTGTGTCTTGTATCAGGCGTGAGCTGCTCTAAATCAAAACATTCCATTTTTCAAATGAAAATTTTCAAGTTGATCATTGACTTTGAGATAGACTCAAGAGCAATTCTATTCATGCATTTGTATAAATCGGTCTTAACATCTTTATCTACATGAAAATCTTTGTCATAATGAAACTGAGGATTCAAATAATATGCAGCAACATGTAAATGTTGACGATTCTACATGTCGTCATTGATTTCCAATATTTCTTTGTAGGATGTATCTTGTCTTTCTAACTCTTATGATATGTCCTCCTTTGTTTTGTTCATATCTTCATAATTAAATCTCATAGCAGGAGCTCTTTCACCATCAACGATTTGTAATATTTTCTCCAAAGGCTTTCTAGTCTTCAGAGCATAACTAAGGTTACACCAAAATGGGTTATCTCTCATAATAATCTTTTTCACTTGCTTTCCTTTTGTTTTGTTTTTTTTTTCCCGAGAACTTCTATTTTATTCTTCAGAGGCAAACATAGCCTCCAAAATTTGTCACAACTCTTTAAATCTTTGCAAAGTCAAACAAGTCGTGGCAAATCTTGTAACTACTAGTAGAAGAAGTTCTTTATCTGTGAATTTCTTCATCAAGCTTAATACCCAAGAATGATTGTAAATAAATTTACTTACTTTTTTTTGCTTTAAGCAAAGCAGATTTATGTTGCGACAATTGTCTCAATCTTTCAAGCATTAAAACAAGACAATGGACAATACAATGATTCCAATAAAGATGCTTCCTTTTCTCCATTAATATTCTTCCAGTTGTTTTATAAGCACTTGCATTATCTATAACAACTTGAACAACTATGTTCTCTCCAACTTCTTCAATGACCTTATCATGCATTTTAAAAAGCAACTTGTGCATCTTTACAAAAGTTGATGCATCAACCGATTTGAAAAATATCGTCCCATAAGGGTTGTTAATAAGATAATTTATAATGCTTATTTGTTTGATATCTCATTCCAACCATCTGACATTATAGTAACATCTTTCTCAACCCCTATCTTTTTTACTCCATCTACTATTTTTGTCGTAGTTCTAACCTACTCATTCAACATCCAAGCTCACACCTCATGCATTCTAAGAAGATGTAGCCCTCGCTCGTAATTTCCAACATAGCAAAGCATATCGATCCATAAAGGACTTCTATTCACATTAAATGAGATTTCATTCTCAAAAGTCATCTTGCAAAATCTAAACATGCTCTATTTCTATCTTCTTTTGCAGAAGCTGGAAGAGAATATGTTCAACTTCATCCACATTCACAATAAATTTATCCATTGGTCCTCAAGTTCCTCTATCAAAAGAAATCAAATGACTTCCACTGCTGAAACAATCATATTGAGAGGCAAAATATGAATTCTTCTTAATCATCTCTTCCATGCTTCTTTGCGTTGTTTCTTTTGAAGTGACGTATTTTTTTTTAATTAAATGCATACTTTTTTTACTTCATTTGCACAGTCTCACATGCTCTAATATTTATATATGTGCCAGCTAAGTGACTTCAAGTCTTTAACTCCACTAGTAATTCGTTTGTCACAAAATCTACATTTTAAGTAAACATATCTCTTCTTTGCACATTCTCCTAACACTTCAATTTGAGTCTCATTTTTCGTGCCAGATCTTTTTTTTTCATGTGCCACCAACCATTCTAAAGTATATATGCTAATTTTTCTGCAAACAAAGCGATCATTTAAAGCAAGCTATATAAATCAATGCAACACTAACATTTAAATTGAAAATGTAAACATAAGCTTGCCTTCTAACTTTAACATTAGTGATTAAACTGACAAAAGTCATTTGTAATGCAAAATCAAAATGATTTAAGAAATAAAAGAATAAAACTCATCAATTATTAAGAATTTGATAAAATTACAAAAAAAATAACATTGGCTTCAAAGCATACCCTTATCGACTCCAAAATCCAATTGATAATTAAAGGTTGTCAAAATCTGAAATTTCCAAAAAAGTTGAGAAAAAAATGATTCACACCACAAAAAGGAAACCAATATTCATGAAGCTTGACAAAATCGTATTCTTGCACATAAAAAATCATTAAATAAATAAAAGGATACAATTCAGAAATCATTGGAAATTTGATAAAATTGAGAAATATGGGTTGGGATTTTATGCTGAATTTTGATATTTGAGTGAGAATTTGAAAAATGGATGAAATAGGGTGCTTGTTTTGTAAATAACAATGTCTCGATTGCTATTTATGTAAATGCCCTGTAAATAGCAATGTCTCGATTTCTATGTATGTAAATGCCCCAAAAATTTTAAAATCATATGCTCACAGAGTCAAAAGAAAAATTTTAAAATCATATGTCTCAACTTGGGAAGATAGCTACTACGACATAAGGGCATAACCATAGAAGAGAAGAGGAAGAGCCGCTAGACTTCGCCGCTCCGCTGGACTTCGCCACTCCACTGGACTTCGCCGCTTCTCTGGACTTCGCAGTTGGACTTTGACACAAAAGGGCTCACAACGAAGCTACTATGACACTCGAAGGCTTGGGACAAAGGACTTTGACGCTCACACTCATGATAATTGTCAAAGGACGTGGAATAAGATACAAAGCTCTCGGAATGACGTCCAACTCTAAATCTGCAGTATGGCTATCGTGTGAAAGTTAGAAATATTCATATCTAATTTTAATTTGAGCGATGCCTCGAGTCAACCGATTCGAGGTGTTACCGCTCGGAGGCATACACCACACTACATAAAGGCATGAGCCTCGAACGCACTGGCGAGGCTTACACTTTGAGTCACCGAAGCAGCGCCTCGAGGCTGACGCCATGTGTGCTTTTGTAAACACTTGATCCGGGCAACCTATAAGATTTTATGATTTACTAAATACTTCAAAACCAGTGGGAGCTATGGCCTTAGAGGGCACACTCTGTGCTGACAATTGCACAAAATTTTATCATAACATCTCTTTAGCATAATTCTTGCCTTACTGTGAAACTAAGTCTCAGAATCTTGATTAGTAAATTTAAAAATTTAATTCTTTCTTATGTTAAACATTGTCTTCCCTTTACCTGAAGCAATATTTAAACTTATTTATGATGAACTATAGAGGTAAACTATTCTTATGAAATTTGAATATTCAAGAACATAAAATAGCATGATATGCTATTAATAAACAAAAGTAAGGATTAAAAGTTTATTAGTGACTAGATTAATGAATTACTCGTAATCATTATAAAGTGAAATTGCTTGAATAATCACATGACAATAATAAGTGAGGTAATCTTACTGAAGGGAATTTTAAAAGTGATGTTAATTGTTCAGGCATATTACATGCACTATGCTAGTCAAGTGTACACTTGTTAACATACTAGACGTTCACATAATAATATTCATTGATTTATTTCACTTTTTACTTAGCGTTAGAATATGGCCAAGTATTAATGTCTAGGTTTCTAGCCATCATAAAATAGTGGATTATATTAAACCCATGTCATAATGCTGTAACCCAGCCCGAAAGCTGTGAAAGTTCAATAGAGTTCATTATAACCTTTTAATATTAGCAAACTTATTGCAACGAGTAAAAGAAACTAGAAGATTTACCACTCTAGTGATCTTGTAACAAATTACTGTCTTCTAACTTGTTGAAACAAGCCTTGCTTATCTCTCCTCAGATTGGCGAAATTGTTGTTAAGTATATACCTTAAAGTCTTTGTTTGCTCCATCTACCAATTTAATTTTGAGTGCTTCTAAACTGGGTATCTTACTTAAAAAATATTCAAAAGCCTTCCCTTTACTAATTACCCAGTAATTGAAGTAAAGATGACTGTCATTTTGCATCTCATAGAGGAGTGAATCCCCAATTTGTGAAGATACATTGTAATTTTTCAGAAGTACACAACTAAGAATAGCAACTTTAAAAGAGAATAAATTTCTAGTCTTAAACCAAAATAAATGCCAATATGACTTCTCATAAGAAAAGAATAGTAAGATTTTACAGAAAATTTATTATCCATATGTTCCACGTGCATTCATCCTTAGAAGATTTAAGAGAAAAAATTTCAATAATAGCATTCAAATGAGCCAAAGCATTACTTACAAGTAGGAGATTACCCTTTCTAATAAATCCTCCCAATATTTGCATTGCACAGAATCCAATTTGAAATTCGAAATATTTAGTTTGTAAATATTAAACTTTTGTGGTTTCACAAATGGATGGAGATATATTGAGAAAAACACAAGTGGTCTTGTTTGGGTTGCTGGTACTGATTTAATGAGTTAGAGATTGTGAGATTACACAGATGCACTTTGGTCTTGATGCATTGGATGGTGATCCATTGCATCTCAATCGTGTTCAGCTTTCTGTATGCCTAATTGTTCTTTGCTTTCTTTTTTTTTAGTATAGTTTGGTAATAGGTAATTAGATATTGCTTTAATATAGAATGATATACTTTTTTGTTCTGTTTAAAAATATTTTTTATATTGATTTGTCTTTTGGTAACTGAAGAAAATGTTTGCAGTTTGTATTTAAAATTTCCATTATTTATTTTTGTAAATTAAGTTTATTTTGTTTTATCTTTTAAATTATTTGTTTTTGTTCTTTTCCCAAGGAAACTACTGATCACCTATTATATCCAAATCCTGGATCCGGAGTGATTCATGAGCAGCATCTTCAATTCTTTGACTTTCTGGGAAGCCTGCTTGGAAAGGTATTCTTCAGCATTTGGGCTATTTTGGTTCATGCAACCCATCTTACAGATCAAGCATACATGCTTGGTGAAATGCAAGTTATCCCTTTAATTTTTTTGATATGTCATTTTTTGTATTTCCCCTTCTGAAATAAATTCCATTTGTGTTTTTTTGGGCATGGTTTGGCTAATTTCATTTGACAAGAGTGTTGAAAATCATTGTTGGTGATAGAAGTGGCAATGTTATTTACTAGAAGTTGCTGGAAAATAATGAGCATGAATTCTTGTGCTTTGTTTAGCAATTTTGTTATTCTGAATTTTTGTTTCCTTTGGTTTTTGGCTTGGCTATTTGATGAGGCATAAAGACTGGATTTTTCTCATGGAGTTGGGCAAGCTGCTCTTGATGTGTGTTTTTTAGTCTATTTGACGTATAACCATTATATTGTTTGAATTTCATAATCTACAGTCTCATTTACGGATGTCTGTTGTGCTAAGCAATCCCAACTTGATAGGGTTCTAGGGCCACTATAATATATTTGGGAAACAGATTTCACGAGAGGTGGTTGTGAAATAGCAAGAGTAGGCTAATATGTATGGTTGACCATGGTTGGAAGGGATTGTGGGGGTAAATCTGCTGGTGGACAGTAGGTTACATTGTCGGTGGCTGTTCTGGCTGATATCAGTGAGTGAGCAGCAAATCGGCACAGTATGGACGACTGGACAGCGGACGGGAAGCGAAACAACAGCTTTCCCTGCTGCGAACGGTAGTTTACAGCACATAGATGACAAAGAAAGCCTTTTAATTCCCCGCGTTTGCCTCCCTCCCCTACATCACATCACGTCTCCCATATCAGCATCCCACGCCATTCTCCCTAATAGAGGGAGCTTCGTCTTCTTCCTAGAAAATTTCTGAATCAATCCACCATCATAACAAAGTTATCATTTTGATGCCTGAGATAGACCAATTGCAAAGTTTATGCTGATGTTCAATCCATTCAACTCAAACACATAAGTCATTCCAAAGATTCTCTTGATAGAATAAGTGCCCATTCTATTTTGGCACAACTAGTGCTGAACTTGCACACGGATGTGTTATAAAAAATCGAGCATCGAGTCATTAAGTATGTAACTTACTTCTTTCATGTCTTGTACTCTACTGGGAACATCCAAAAACAAGTTTGTCTGGAAGAACCAACTATAGAATGAAATTTATGACATTATGAACCACTCAATGGGTATGTTGTTGGTCATGTTATCTAGCAAATCCTTCAACAAGGTTTGTCCCTTTTCAGGTGTCGGCTCCTTGGACTAACTAACTTTTAGAACAGTTAATGTTAATCTAGTTGGAGTCCCTCTCAAAGGCTCAGTTTGAATCACTAGCTATCTTCCTTATTGCCTGGAAGTTGAGACTCATTTCTGACATCTTATCTTCTCCCGTGTTACTGTCCATTTCTTCAACTACTCTCTATTCAGGGAAGAGATCATTATGTTGTTTGGACAATTTCATGCAATGTGCTCAAAATCGTGGCACTTAACATACTTCCTAACTATGACGAATTTCAGTGTTATGTTTGGCTTCATCTATTTTCCATTCATAACTAGTTTCTCCATAGGCAGGGTTGGCTTGGATGCTTTGCTAGGTGTACTCTTGTTGCTTGATCATGGGGTTGAACACTCCTTGTAAGGTGTAGCTGTCACTCGGTGATGTTTCCCCATCTTTGAAAGCTAGGGTCTGAACATTCTGTAATGTCCAATAGGACAGTAACTCTATCATGCTTTCAATGGATGATCACATTCCTCCTAGATATCGAGTTAAGGTGTTCTCGGGCTCCACTAGCCAATACTTCAACCTAAGCTGCTCAAATTCAGTTCTGTTCTCTTCTATTGAGTGATCTTGTTGCAGTAAGTGATGAGAGATCTTGTTGCTATAAGTGATGAAGTCTCAAGAACATGTCATGTCTGTAATGTGTTGATAGGAGCTTGTGTTGCATCTTATTTAATTTTGGACTGGATAGTAATTTTACTATTTTATTCACGCTATCGAAGATGCTTCAGGTTATCCCACCATAAAGAAGTGTTCATGAGCTTAGTGACTGCTAGCTTGACCCTACTATCAGGTGGAACGTTCTTATATTCAAAATTATGCTCTACTGTTTGAAGCCACTTGATAAACTTTTTTTGGATCCACACGACCGTTAAAATCCAATAAATTTGCTCTTACTTCAAGTTCATGGCTTTACCCCTGATATTTCATGTTGAATTGTTGAGATAGTGGTTCTTCGTCACTGGAAATTGCCTGGTAGAAGGGATTCACTATCTTCTCTCGATTTGGCAAGCCACCTTGTTGCTATGGGTGATCTCACTGGATTGTCTTCTCTCAAAGGCGACAAGCCTCTATTGCATTTGAAGATTTTCTCGCTACATATCTTTCATGGTAAGTTCTTGGGCACCTTGCTGAGGGTTTCTCCTTGGTGGCGCGACATCATTTTCTTCCAATCACGTTTTTGGCGGATGTAAGATTGCATATCAAGGTTTATTAGGGATTTATGTTTTAGGTGTAGATGTCGGGGTGGAATTTTTGAGGAGGTTGGAAAGTTTGATTTTGAAAATGTCATGATTTTAGTTAGGAATTGCGGTATGAATGATTTGTGGAAATTTTTTTTTACTTTTGGTTGGGGTGTTAGGTAAGGTTGTTTGGAATTTTGGTTTAGGGTAACAAAAGCAAAACCCTAAAGATTAAGGACGTGTCGGGCTCTAGTACCAAATGACACTGTTCTAGAGCTACTAGAAGGTATTTGGGAAGCGGATTTCGCGGGGATGTGGTGTGGATAGCGAGAGAAGGCTATTATGTGTGGCTCGCGGTGTTTGGAAGAGATTGTGAGGATAAATCTACTTTTGAACAGTATGTTTGATGTTACCGGCGGCTTTTCTGGCTGAAATCAGTGAGCAAACAATGAATCGATGGGGTATGGATGCTGAACAGTGAACAGTAAGTGAAACAGCAGCTTTCCCTGCTGCGAACAGCAGTTGACAGCACTTCGAATGACGAAAGATGTCTTCGAACGTTCCATGTTTTCCTTCCTCGCCCGCGTCGCGTAGTGTCTCCTGTATCAGTTGTCCCACATCACAACTTCTCTTTCTACTCTTATACGTTCAGCTTTTATTTGTTTCTCCATTAAGGCACGTATCCATGTTCAAGAATAAGAAACCTGAATGGAAATTGATTTTTGTAACTCACATGGTAGTTTGCAGAGCGTTGATACTGAGCTGTGTAGTCTCTTTTTTATTTTATAATTTATTTTTTATTTTTTTTCTTTTTATTGGAACAATTCATATGTACCGTGAAGCATACTAGATTTTCTAAATAATGACTTGTGGACATTATAATATGCCGGGAACCTACCATTCGTATTAATTTTTATGACTTTCAGCATGCTCATCTTTTTTATTTCTTTTTTTGTTTGTTTTTTTTTTTTTTTTTTTTTTTTTTTTTTTTTTTTTTGTGGTTTTTGTTTTTCATTGCTTTCGAATGTGAATGATCGATAAACTTCCCTTGGGCACCATCAAAGCTGTTTTTACTTCATCCCTTGACTTTATTTTTCACTTTTTGTTGTAGAATGCATTTGTAAACATGATGGGGTGAATCATACGCATATTCACATTGTTCTGTGTTTTTTTCTGTAGGCAATGTATGAAGGCATTCTTGTCGACATACCTTTTGCGACATTCTTCCTCAGCAAATTGAAACAAAAGTAAGGTTTACGATCTCTTTTAGTTGAATATTTTTACCAATTTATTTATTTTTGAAAGTTGGAATTGAAGGTATTCTTTCTGGTTTGATTGCAATTATTTTTCTATTTCATAATCATCTATTCCTAAGATTTGAATGAACATTTAAACAAATTATCACATCTAGCTCTTGTGTCTCGCCTGTCCAAATATCAATTTAGAAGTTTTTTTTATTTATTTTAGCATATTTTTTATGATTGGATATCAACTTAAAGATAATCCCTCAACTTTCTTCAGTGCGTTTGGGATCAAGAGCAATAGAAGGGCAAAAAATAAGCCACTGAAATCCAATTCAATGTGGTCAAGGGTGATAAGATGAATGTTTGATAAATTTATGAATATAAGTGAGAAGTGATCATATTCTAGATATAATGGGAGTAGCGCTTATTGAAGATAATATGTGAAAAATAAACTTCATGATTTGGGCATGTTCAATACAAAGGAGAAGATGAAGCGAATAAAATGGTTCTCTTTAATTAATGTTGAAGCATTAGTAAGAAAAAATAATTAATGTTGAAGCATTAGTAAGAAAAAAAAATTAAGTTCCAGATATAGCTTATTAGTTGTGCCAAATAGAGCTGACTTCTTGTGTACTCTTAAACAAGAATGAATTTTGGGTCATTTAGAAAGCTTACCATATATTGTTGAGATAAGGATACTGCTGATGATCTGCTTATGGATAACTACTTAATATTTTCAATTCTGTACTATTGTCTTTTTTTTTCTTTTGTTAGTCCACAATTATTTTTGCCTTGACTCTTTTCCCATGCTTACTCTAGAAATGCATGCAAATTTCTATTTCACGTCCCATCCGCCTAGCATGCCGCTCTCCTTTTTTTCCCTATTCATGCATCTACGCCATCCTCTCCTATTTCTACTTTGATACCACTTGCTCGAATCAATGCCTACGTCTTTCTATCCTAACCTACCTCTCCCCTCCAACCGTCTGCGCATACTACCGCACAGTAACTTTACGTTGCATTAGCCCGCCCGTCTTCGTTGGGACTGCCCCTCATTCCTCTCTCGCTGTCTCTCTCTCTCTGAGCTACAAACAATTGATACCACAATTCCCTCCTCATCTGATCTTGATGTAATCGAAGCCCCAACCATCCCTACTCATAACTCATTTTCCACCTTGATAACAGCCACCACCCCAGACAAAAATTGTCCCTCACCTTATATCTACAAGGACTATTTGAAAAATATAACACATGATTATTTTAAAGTGGCTTTTATATTAGAATGGGTTGATTATCTCCTTTGAGTAAGTGGACTCAAGTACATGACAACTCTGGATGATAAAATCATAGGATCTTGGTTAGGTTCGTCATCATTCTCTCTACTATCGTTCAAAGCTAAAAATAGTGTCTTTCTTAATTTAAAACAAAAAATTGTTGTTACCATTTATTATGCACTTAGCACCTAATTATTGGCCTTAATTGGGATTTTTTCTTATTACTTGGAAGGGTAATTAACAATAGGGACTTAAGCCCATGTGAAACCCGAAATCATATATTAAAATTTTCATAAAATAAAGGTAAAATCTTTTTATATTGTATTATCCACAATCTAATTTGTCTTTTGAAAATTTGACTTGGAAAAGCACAATCTCTAGAGTGAGGTGTAAATTTCAAAACACACACACTGATGAATCTCTTAGTCTCGTGATAATTACCATTATCAACGCTCTCTAAAGGAGAAATTTATCCGCCCCAAAGGAATTGGAAATTATTCACCAATTTTGTTTTTGTTCTACAAATATGTCGTGTTTGGTAACTGCATTGACATTTGATAGACTAAAATGTTATTAACTAATGTTGTTGAAGGTGTGCCCTTACTGTTCTTCAAATTCCTTGGATTTGCATTGGCCGGGGTGTGATGATGATTTTTTATTTTTTGATGAGCACGAACTTTATTGTCACTTAAATTCAGTTTGTTAATTTTTTTTTATCATAGTAGCACTTATAAGCTGGCGATCCTTACACACAACATGGAGACTAAATCGGTGGGGCGCTACAGACTTTTCTGTGAAGTTATAGCAACACATAAGTAGGTGGTCCTAACATATGGAGCTGTCTGGAGGATAAATGGGCAGGGTACTGTTAGGATTTGCAGAAGTCTTTAGAGAAAGCATGTTTACTAGTTTAAAGAGGTACTTAGTTTACATTTATGCCAAAAGAGGTAGCAGAACTCAAAGGAAAAAAAATTCTCTCCCGCCCTCTTTGAGCGAGAAAGGTTGTTCTTTTTGAGAGAGAGTGCGAGGTTTTCTTTTATCAAAACATTTACTGTAACTATGTACTAATGAGGATTCATTCGTTGTAAGAGTTCTGAATGTTTTCCTTACATTCAAACAGAGCCTGATTGTTTGCATTTGAGCAAGTAAATCATTAGTTTCATGATTGAACATATAGTTAAGATCGTTTATGATGCCTTTTGTTTCATTTATGTTAACTAATGAATTTATGGCATCTTAGGCACAACTATTTGAATGACTTGCCTTCACTAGATCCAGAATTGTATCGTCATCTGCTCTTTCTAAAGGTGGGAATTTTTTTTTGTAAATGATCTCTGTATTCTTTATTCTTTTTTCTCTGAACATTATTATCTTCTTCACAAGGCTGTCATGAGCTGCAAATGCATTTCTATGCTGGTAGTTGGATGCTACGTAGTCATTTTACATTTAAGAAATTCATGTTATGTTGTGAAGATACAGCCTGGAAATTATTTCTTGTTGCTAAAAATCATCCTTGCATTTCTACCGAAGAATATCTTGATAATGCTCAATTTCATTTTGCACTGATCTCTGCAGAATATTTTTTACAAAAATTTGCTATGGATTTTTTCTACATTATCTGCCCTTCTAGAAAAATTAATGTCATGTGAGAGGAATCATTCTTAATGGCCGTGAGCAAGTAACTGTGCTGTAGTGTAACTGCATTTTGTTTAACCAGATCACATATGCAATTGTAACTGTCTGTAGAAGAGGATTCAGGATGCTGGCCTTTAAATTTATTCTAAAGGCCAAATTAGTCAAATTCGAAGAAGACAATAGACAATGATTGCAGTATCATAGAAAATTGAATCCAGGTGCATCTCACAAATCAGGATCATACAACCGTTACTACTTCTGTTGAGCAGACTTCGGAGCATTGAAATTAATAAAAAATTACTTAATAGATTTAATCAAATATGATGTAAAAAATGGACAATTAATGGTACGTCACACAAGTTCAACTCAAACTGCCTCGTAAAATCAAAATCAATAAATTATCATTTGTTTCACAAAACTGATTATGCCAATGTTTTCAAATTGCCGTATGAAAGGTAAGAAAATTTACTCTCATATGAGGTGATGACATGAAGTCCAATGGGCTCAAGCTACAAAAGAGTTGCGGAAGAAATTGTATTTTCACTGAATAATTAGGAGCAATAATTTAAAATTATAATTTCAATAATTATGTTAAAATTTTCAAATATTCTAATGTTAAATCTCTGCAATATTTATAATTATATATTAAATATTTTAAAAAATTAATTGCTACTTTTAATTATATTCAAATTTATAATATGTTTATATATATTAATTTTATTGTTAATTATTAGTATTAAAAATTTAAAAATTATTTCAATCACCAAAACTATCTTGACCATTCCATCTTGGATCTGTGCGATGTGTATTGCAACATTGACAAATCTCTACGCTCTTTGTTTTTTTTATTCAAAAAAAAAAAAAAAAAAAAAAAACCAAAAAGTAACATAAATTTTCTATTTTAAGATTTGATTCATGTTTCTCTTTTGCTCCTTTTTTTCTAGCACACGGGTCAATATTTCCTCTTCTCTTTACGCACATGATTTCCTTTTTGACTTCGACATGTTGTGTGCCTCCACTCATACCCCTCTCTTGTCTTCAAGAATTGCGGTCTGTCACGATTCTCCTTCTACTAATGCTTGATCTTCTCCACATCTATCATTGAAAATGCCCACCAACCTGCCCTATTTCAATGAAAAGCCATGATTTGAATGAAAACTCATTCGCCTCTTGCTCCCGTTCACATGTTGGCATTGTGACTCATTTGTCAATCACGCCTGCTCATGTCGCCTGTTCCACTTGCTAACACGCTTAATTTTCTACATCTTACTCGATTTCGGGGTGAATGATCCTGCGACCACCTCACTTGCATAGCTCCCTTCACTTGCACTTTTACCGACATCCAATTCTCCCTAATTTGCAGCTCCACTAAACTTTCACTTCACCTCAACCCGAGCACTATGCAAACTTTTTCAATCAACTTTGATGCTAGCAAAGTTGCAACAACTTTCATCTCCTCTAGCCAACATCTCCCTCTTCCTTCGTAACTCTCTCTCTCTCTCTCTCTGTGTTTTACATATCATTTCTCTTTCAAATATCTCTTAACTTTTTTGTTTAACTCCTTACTTTCTCACTTCCCTTTCTATACATAATATACTATATAAAAAAATAATAAAAAAAAATAAAAATACAAAAAAAAAAGAAATTTCATAAAAGGAAGAAGAAGAAGAAAGCATTTACAAAAAGAATAGATAAATTCTTAGGTGTCTTTAACTTGTCGTAATATCTTGTCACCCCACCTCATTACCATCGTTTCCACCTCGTGCACAGTAAATGTGGACTTTAAGAGGAACTTTCTTAGAGGGAAAACTCTTTAATTTTCTCAAACTAACCCTCAAACAATTGGAGTGAAATTCAAATCATCATGATAAGAAGGAAAGAGCACACAATTGGTCCTTGAAAGATATTCGGTAGGAAATGGTTGCCTTGGAGGAGTGTCTGGTGGGTTAGGCTTTAAATCGCTTCATCATATTACCGACATAAACTTTTTCAAATTATGGTTTAAATTTCGGAAAGGGGACTCCTTATGGGCTGCGTTCATGCATGGAAAATACTGTCATAATAGCAACCCCGCCTTGGCTAATTGGCGGTTGGGTGATTCTAGGGTGTGGAAGAAGTTGTTGCAAATTTGAGAGTCGACTAAGGATTATATTTATTGGGAGTTGGGGTGTGGTAACCTCTCTTTTTGGCATGATTGTTGGTCCCCCCATTCCTCTGAATTTGAGGGAGGCGGTGTATGCTAACCTTCTTGTTTCTGACGCTTGGCTAGGTGGTAATTGGAATCTTCCCCTTCTTAACCAGTTGGTGGGGTTGGAGTGTGCGCAATTTATTTCTTCAATTCCTTATGAGGTTCATTTGAAAGACACTCCGGTATTGAAATTGTTAGCTAGATATTTGGTTACTAAATCTTTATATTTTGCTTTACATACCTTCATAAAAACTTATGGGGAGAGAGTGTTTGGTGCTGGGCTTTAACCCCTTCTATGTCTTTCTTGGCTTGGAGGATCTTTCATTGTGTTATTTCTTGTGATGATATTTTAAAATTGAAATGATTGAGACTTGCTTCTCGATGCCTGTTTTGCAATGCTATGGAGGATTCTATTGAGCATCTTTTTTTCTTATGCCCATATTCTCTGTTTATTTGGCGGAAAGCCGGTCACTGGTTTGGCATCACCATGTCCCCTGCTCAGAACTTAATTGGCTCTATTGAGGTTTGTAACCCTACTCGGAGGCAAAAACACTTCTTGCAAATTTATCCTTACATTGTTTGTTAGTTTATATGGTGACCCGTAATGATATCAAGCATACTGGTCAAAATATTCATAGTGCAACGGTTTTTGCTCACATCATTGCACACATTAACAAAAATTTTATGTTGGGAGTTGCAAAACACAACTTCTTTTCAGGCATATCATATTTTAAATCTTTGGGGACTACCAATATTATTGGGGGAAGGACACTGCAACTCTCATTTTTGGTGAGATGGTGGTCTCCTCTTACCGGGTGGGTGCAAAATTAACATGGATGGAAGCTGGAAATGTTCTAATGCTGACATTGGGGGTATTGCTCGGAATGATGTTGGTAATTGTAATCTCTTCTCCTCCTCCCCTTGTTTCACCGATAGTCCCCTGGAAGCTGAGGCTAGAGCCATTTTGATGGTTGTCACTGTTGTTTTATCGCTTAATTGGCATTTCCTTATTATTGAGACTAACTCTCATATTTTGGTTGATATACTTAATAATGGGGCTGAAGCACCGTGGGACATTTTATAATGCATTAAGAGAATTAAACTCATCTCTTCCCATCTCTCTATTGTTTGGAGGTTCATACGTCGCAAGGTAAATAGGTCGGCCAATTGGCTCGCTGCATTTGGTATTGAGAGTAACAATATTATGGTGGGCAGGGTGCCACCCCCTTCTTTGCATCTTTAGTTGTTGGGGACAAATTGGATGCTCCATATGTTTGTGGATAATGGTTCGGTGAGCTTGTCATTAAGGCTCTTCTCCTATACTATAATTAAGCTATTTTCCTCATTTCTTACTTACATTACTGTTCTTGGTTTATTCCTCCATTTGGTTTTATTATATGATTTTTGGTGTTATATGGTCCATTTTATGGTGACCTGGGGATTACATTGCTTGTTGTCATTGGTTTTGGAGGTTTTCCTTCACGGTTTTGGATGTCTGCTTTGGTCCGTCTCTTATGTGGCTTCTGTTTGGTTCTCACTAATTCAATTTTTGGATTCTTGCATTGGTTGCTTGCTCCATCTATGGCTTCCTTGCTGGTTTGTGGTATGTCGAAGTTCAGTATGGCTTTGCGGCATGGTGACAGTTTTACCTGGAATTTATGAGTACCGCCTACTCTCTCTTGGTCTGAACTTGGGGATTTCGACTCTTTGAAATTTGTTGATGTTCGGATTTCGACTTAGATATGTCTTGGGTATAACTCAGCTCTATTGGACTTGTTGTTGTGCTCCTTTCTTTGCTCCTATCGATACGACTGACACGGTTACTTTATTAGATACTCATACTTGGTATACTTTTTGGTGTTTATTTTTGGTTTCGGTATACTTGTATGGAATTTTGGTTTCTTTCTTGTGGGCGTCGAGTTGTAATGTTGGAAATGGAACCCCTACGGTATGAGTATTGTATTTTTTTGGATTTTTTAGATGTGGGGATCCGTCTCCACACCACTTTTGTATTTCCTCCTTTTTTTATTAATATGTAGGGAGTATATATATATATATATATATAGATAAACCCAAGTCAATGCTCGCTTGACCATGATGATCATCATTATTTCTAGAATAGAACAATATATTATTAATAAATACTATTACAAATTGATCAAGATAATGTTTGAATATTATGTTCATCATATTCACGGACACTATCTGTGCAATTGTCAGCTCAAAATTCTACAGAAATTCATAATATCTATATTTTTACAAGTTGTCATAAACATGTCATTGTCACCTCCCATTTTATTTTCATTTATTAGCATTTGAATGCATGTAACGTTCACCTTTCGCATGAAATTTATATTATGTATATATTGTACTGTAGAAATTAGAACTCAGTAATTTTCAGGATGACTGTTTGATAGTTTCGGGTGGATGCCCAAATCTAAGTTTGTTGTTGGACTCCATCCCTAGAACCAGGGGGAGGGAAAGTGGTAAATCCACCCACAATGATTATGAGTATTTCATAATTTTTGGGGTATACGAGTATTTTTAAGTTTCTTTTTGAGTGAGTTGTATTCCCTGTGAGTGGGCTCTTAATACCCACTCACTAAAACCTTTGTATCTTCCTTTTTACATCAATGACTCTCATGTATTTTTCTGTATTTTTTTTTTCTGGAACCATTTGCATGTAATGTTTACCGTATGGGTAGGGTGTCATGCTTGAGCCCTCTCATTTAATCTATTTGTATCTTTCTTTCTTTTTAATATATTAGCCCTTAGGCTTTCTCAAATATATATATATATATATATATATAAACTAAAATTTTTTTATAAATTTTAACTTTACCTTGAGATAATTTTAAGTATTACAGATACATAGGCAGCGGCTTAGTGATTTATCTCTAATTTGTTATTGTTGATTAAATTATGTTTGTGCCTTTGTATTACAATTTCATTTTGCTCTTTGATGTCATTCATATTCATGCTTGAGTTTTTGGTAAATATTCAGCATTTTGAAGGCGATGTTTCAGACTTGGAGCTTTATTTTGTTATTGTAAACAATGAATATGGGGAACAAAAAGAAGAAGAGTTGCTACCTGGAGGAAAAGATATTCACGTTACAAAGGAAAATGTTATCACATACATTCATCTCATCGCCAATCATCGGTTAAACTATCAGGTATTTTTTATGACATTCTACTTATTTTCCTCAATCAAATAATTTTCAGATGCCATAAATTAAGTCTTCCTTTTTTGTAGATTCGGCATCAAAGTTCGCACTTTTTACGTGGATTTCAGCAACTTATAGAGAAAGAATGGATTGAAATGTTCAGTGAACATGAAATCCAGGTATTTGGAGTCTTCACCCTTTATTTAATTCTCTAGGTTGAAACTTTTGTCGTTAATTGTTTAACTTGATTAAACCTGACAACTCATTTCATTATGGAGTGAGAAAAGAATTATAATAAGAGAAGACTTAACAGAATGTTACCTTGATATGCAAGGACAATGAATATTCCAATTACTAAAACTGGAGAATTGTGTTGATACCTGTTCAAACTCATAAGAAATTAGGCATCTCTTTGAGTTATAGAAATTAAATTTTGGTGGGTTGGACATAGTCGATAAAGCAAACAAGATGCACGTATAAGTTGGTGAGATAGATTTTCTGTGATTAGAATAGGAAAAGGAGAGACGGAGATAATATTCTTAGAGTGAGAAAGGAGAAGGATTCATAAAGCTGGCCCATAAAAGTGTTAAAACTTCTATCATTGTGTTTGGATAAATTCGTTGCTGAAAATTTAAAAATTCCACTTAATAGGCATGGTACAGACTGATAGATTTGTTTTTTTTTTTTTTTCACATTAAATTCATTCTCAAAATGAGCTGACTAATATTTATATGGAATACTGATAAATATTTAATGTCAACCAAATTGAGTTGCATGCAAACTGAATGTGTGCTTGTCTAGCTTCCTATTGAAAGTAGGCAAGTATTCTCAAATAATTGCATGCTAATGAGATTTTTTGAGTTATTTCTTGATCTATTTTGGCGTCGTGGTAGTCATTCACGCTTCTTATTACTACCAGAGTAAATGTTCCATTTAAACATTTCAAAACTAAATATTTTCTCATTTTTTAAAATTGTGATGGCATCCATTAATTTGTGATTGGTTTTATGCAACGTTTCTTTTTTTTGGATGAATTTGCTAGTTCTTTTAGGCATATATTTGGTGGTGTGAAAATTTTTTCTTGATTGGCTTGTCTATCCGAAAGATCAAAGCTCAACATTTGATTGCAACATTTGTTCGGTGACCTAAATCAATTTCTTATGAAAATCATATATTGGTTACATAATATCAATTTTTCTTCAGATTCTAATATCAGGTTCACTTGAGAATTTGGATATGGATGATCTACGTTCTAATGCTCATTATTCAGGTGGCTACAATGAAGTAAGTTGCGTTTCAATCATTCATTTTACCTACTCATGTATATTTTCATTATTGTTTCCATGATTTTAAATCTTGTGGGTGCATTCGATTTCCTATATGTAGTGGTTCGCATGAGTTTATTGAAAGTTCTTTCTAGTTTATTGTTGACTGAATTGCATTGTAACTTGAATCAATGTTTATAGGCTTGATAGAATCCCTTGTCTCTTTAAGGGAAAATACCACATATTCATAGGCATGATGCACACCCTTCTAATCATATAGGTTGCACGTTTGGAACAGTTGTTGATTTTCCAAGCAGCAACTGTGAAGCTGCATTTTGGAGAAACAGCTTCAGAGGTGTTGTTAGAAAGTTGTTGTTGGAATATCAAGAGTTTGTTTGAATAATCCATTTTGTTGCAACTGTTTCTGATGAAAAGACATACCCTTATATATAAATTGAGCTGAATGACTATAGTTTTCAAAATAATTGTAGCAGAATAATAAAAATAGCTCCAGCAATATAGAAAACACGTTAGAAGTCCAAATTTTTACAATACATCAATCGCAAGTTATCATTATATGCATAATTCGATAATAATAAGAACAACAAAAATTACCAGCAAGGTTATAATGACTTTTGCCTTCATGTCAAACTGTATTTTTCAAAATAATTGTAGCAGAATAATAAAAATAGCTCCAGCAATACAGAAAACACGTTAGAAGTTCAAATTTTTACAATACATCAATCACAAGTTATCATTACATGCATAATTCGATAATAATAAGAACTGCAAAAATTACCAGCAAGGTTATAATGACTTTTGCCTTCATGTCAACATGATGAAGCCTTGCGAAATATTTTTTTGTCTATAGCATCTTGGCTAACTTGATCACTATCCAGAGCAAACTCTTCTATATCACCAGCCTATTGAAAATACATGCAATCTTCAAGTGCTTTATTTCTGGGACAACAATAAAAGATCTTCTCATAGCTATCTTCTCTTCTTTATGTGTATGCAGAACACTGCTTACTACAATAACAGTAGATAGCTCTTGAATTACTTGATAACCTTGAACTCGTTTTTCTTGAGATTATAATATATTATACTTTTAATTGACAAAATTAGAGTAGATATGCAATAGAACAATAAAATAAATATTTGGTTTCATAATTAGAAAAAAACACATATAAGAAAAATATACTTCTCTAACGTTAGACATCAACAAATCCTCAATACAAAACCCATAAATATAGAAAATAGACAACAACAAATCCTTAATGCATCTAAAATATTAAACATCTATAAGAAGATACTATAAAACACTACATAAATTCACTCGATTAGTTTACCAAAACACCTGTAATCTCTACTTTTAATTGAATTATCTTCTGAGCATCCTCCTCTTCGGATGTGTTGAAGCCATTCGTACCAAAATCTTCATCGGACAATGATTACATGCCCGATGTTTAAATGCTTTCACAGGTTTGCATGTTGGATCTTTATCTAACATTCTGAAATCAATATTGTCCCGAGATAGATGCTTCCGTATAAAATTATGTTGCGTCGTCATTGCAACCATCTTTACCTATATTTTGAAGGAATATGTCAGTTATATTTGGAGTATGACCCACTTTTTCCTTACTTCATAATGATTTTTGTTTTTTGTTGAATAATTCATTCTTCTAATCAATTGACTGTTGCGCTCAAAATTAGGAAAGTAGTACCTCTTGTCCGGGAAGGGCTTTAAAAAACCTCATTTCAAGGAACAATTCATTCATTCCTCTAAAACACATTAAAGTCACAAACTGCTAAGATATGCTCTTTAGCAAATGCAAACGTTCGATGTATGCATTCTTGTCATTGTTATCAACACGTCCATCGACACGTGTCATCAATTGTTTTGATATGATTCTATTTAAAAAAAAACATTAGAATAATTTTTTTTTAAACATTCATGCAAAAATAAATAGAAATATTAATGTCTTGAAGAACTACTTGTATCTCGTATCGTTACGGACTTCTCTTGGTGTATGCACAAAAGCATAATATATGAGTTTCAAAATATTGTGTGACAATCTATCCAAGGGATTAACTCCAATAGCGAAATATATGTTAATTATCTCTGTTGAGTGTTGGAATCGCTTGAAAGCAGCATAAATAGATTCAATGTGTCACATAATACATAATGTGATGGACACTTTCCTGGGTGAGCTTGGAGTAGCACAAATGAACTCAATAAGACGATCAATGCAAACCTTATTTACTTTGCAATTCATCCAGCATATCACAAAAAAATTGTCTTGACATCTGAAACATACTATATGATTTCTGTTTGGATGAGCTTGGAGCAACTCACCAATTCACTTATTACTCACATATAACGATGGCACGCATTGTTCCTTACACATTTTTTTCTAATAATTCTCATTGATTGAACATATTATTGTAGTCATAATTATCTGGTTTTCCACTATATCTATAATTTTATCTTTATATGATGGGTCCATCTGGCTATTTTATGCATGTTAGAAAATATAAAAAGAACAAGTTATGCACATAAATGTTAAAATGACATAATTAAAGCACTACAACTAGTGCAAAACATAAATGTTGAAATTTCACATGAACACGACACAAAAATATAAATTATTACACACCACAATCTAAATAATAAAAAGACAAACTAACTAGATTGATTGTCTAAAAACAACAGAGGTAAGGAATCCTCTATTTTGGCGCCATCGTCATGAAAGCCTCTCGCTTTTTTCGGTCCTCTAGAAGTTTGATAGTGAATAAATGCAGGGACCTATCATTAAATATCTCTAGGGTAAAGTCTAGTAGCTTAACGACTTATGTCGTAAATGTGATACTGGTGCAAATTGTAGCAAGTTGTGAAATCTGCTTAGATAATTGTTGGGTCACAATCTTCATTTTCTTTTTATGCTTCTAGTTGGAGGGTATAGTGCACTTGGAATTACTTGATTCACCTTGTTCTCTCTCGTGTAGTGCTTCCTCATGGACTTCATTGGTCTCATCCAAATTCTAGGGGAAGACTTGTGTCGTTGCTCAGACCATAGCCACGATTCCGGGAAACTTAGTATCAAGTTTCTCCTCCAACTCATAGTTTATGTCATAAATTCGATTTTTTTGGCATTGGGCATGACCAACAATTGATAAAATTACACTTCAATAAAGTTCATGTTCAATAAAACCACAGTTCAATATAAATTTTTATATTTACTGCAATTTTTTTCTCTCTGCCACTCTGATGCATCCATTGTTTTCTTAACAGAGTCCCAACCTAATCCAGTTGCCTCTCTCTTTAACTCTGTTACAATTTTCAATCTTTTTCAATTGAATATTGTCTTACAATCTTTTTATTTTTTCATGCAAGTTTTCTTTTTATATGTTTTACAAACATTTTTTATTGAAGTAGATGGTTGGTCTATTGTCAATTTCTATCTCTTTCAAGCATAAATCACTAAATATGATTTTGGTCTCTCTCCCAAATGGTCGATATCCTTACCTTTCTTTTGTTTACCCATCTGATGTATTATGCAGATAAAACATTTTGAGGAAAAAATATAATTTGACATAAATTAAAAAGTTAAGTATAAAAATTGAAACAAAATTCAAAAAATATCAATATATCGAATTAGAGTCGATGAGATAAATTTATTAATTATTAAGTAAGGATCTTCCGAGGATCACCAAGTGTATCATACATGTTTTAAAACCATGAAATATTTGTGATTAATAGTTGCATGTATGATCTAAAACTAATTAGTATCCGTAGTTAACAGTACGATGTGTGTTTTAAGACTAGGTAGTGTCTTATGGCAAACAGGTGAGAACAATTATATAAGTGACAGTTGGTGATCGGTTGATCTCTTTATTTTTTTATCATTGCTCAACATAACAATATGAAAACCACGTGCTACAAAACCACCAATGCAAAGCCAAAACAAAAACCAGAGACAACCCCTACCAGCAACCAATATATTAAAGTTACAACCACACCCACTGCTAACAGTTAACAGAGACCACCAAACCACACCAACACCCACTGCCAGCAGGCAACAATGACCACTAGACCACGAAAAACTTACAAGTTTTCTTTACGACAAAAAAATTGCCTTTGTTCTATACTAGTAAAGTTCGTTCTTACAACCAATGCTACAATCATATCCCAGCACACCCTAAAAATTGAGAAGCCCCAAGGCACAACCACTATGGTAAAATGTGAAGCACCAAACCACCACCACTGTGGACAACCAAGAAGCCCCAAGGCACAACAAATTTGGTAAAATGAGATGCAACAAATAAGTACCACAAAGGACAATTGAGAAGCTCCAATGGCATAATCATATAGGTTAAATGAGAAGCAACAAACCACCACCACAGAGGACAATCGAGAAGCTCCAATGTCACTCAAATCTTTAACATCACATAATTCGTATACATATACATATCAAACAACTAAATTTTAATATTTACTTATATAACACTCAAATCTTCACATAACATTAAAAAAATATTGTTATATGATAGCAATTTTTTAAAATTGAATTACACACTTTTACGTAAGTAAATTTCAAATTTTAGATTGTAGATATGTAAGTGCATAAGAATTGTGTGATATGCATGTAAATTCTCCTTCAAACAATATTGCACGATTCAAACCACGAGCACCAAACCACAACTAGAGAGGAACATCGAGATGCCCCAATTGCATATTCACTTTGGTGAAAGTTTAACTCAATACTTCTCTTTTTTGGTTCCTTAATGTTGTTGCTCTTTTCTGTTTCAAGTTTCCTCTTCATAGGGTTTTCTTTAAGTAAATCATTGCAAGTCTTTGTAGCACGCAACTCTATAATAATTTAGTTTTGGGGCATTTACATACATCCAACACAAATCTTATATTTTTATAAATCTAACATCTGAACTTTTATATTTATATATGTTACACTCAAACCTTTGACATCACATAAAAAATATCACTATTGTTTATTTTTTTTA